TCAGTTGGAGAGTAAATGTACATTTATTATTACAGCAGTAAATTACTAAATAATTGGTGTGAACTGTTGATTTTACATACCAAATCCTTTGCTAAGTAGGGAACAGACTGGCAATTAATACAAATACTGAGAACATATTAGCTAGATAATTTTAGAATGAACAGTGTATCCTCTTTAAGCCTACGAATGCTTATAAAATTTTAAGTAACACAAGGCAGGATAATACCGATTAGATGACATCCTAATTCTATTTTTTGTGGAGTTGCTGGACACATGCCCTATTCTAACATAAAACAAAATAAACTTTAAGACTTATACTTAATTTTTAGTTATTTAATTCCACTTAGCCATAAGCCTTGTTTCGGTAATTTTTCAGAAAAATTATTCTTCCTGAAGAAAAATGCCAAGCCCTTAAAATATTCCAAAAGATTATATAAAAGAATTAAATTTGGGGTAAAACTCCAGATTTACACTCTTATCTCTGAAGTCCTTTCTAGGCTGGTGCCTGTGGAACTTGGCAGCACTTGCCACCAAATACTCACTTAGAATCATGCATAGGTTCTTGGAAGCTGTGACCTGAAGCAAAACGACATATAATGAAACCAATTTTACCACAGACTGATTGATAGAATAACAGTTAAGTTCCAATGGCATATTTCTGGCCACAAAAACATCATCCAACTCTGTGTGTGTGTGTGTGTGTGACGGATTTCACTCTTGTTGCCCAGGCTGGAGTGCAACGACGCGATCTCGGCTCACCGCAGCCTCCACCTGCTGGGCTCATGTGTATGGGTCATTGTATTTGAAAAAGCTGTTTGGGGTTATTAAAAAAAAAAAAAAAATTACAATTTGAGTTGTAACTTCCTCAAAAAAAAAGATTTTGTGTTGCTTCTCGCTAGCATTTTGGGGAACTCCAGTACAGACTCACCATAATTAAGGTTCAAACAACCCAGGTCCTGTCAGGTTGGAACCTAGATTTTATGAGGGTGTATCACTTCCGCTTTACCCTCACGTGTCACTATTCTGGGTCTCGGAAACTATATGGGCATTTCTCAGATCCCTATCCTGACTAAATGGGTTGGATCCAAGCACTACATGAGGCATCCAAACTACAACTAACTTTGGGATGATTTCTTCTGCTTCAGGAAACACACACTCAGAACAACGGGGGCTTTAGTGCTGGGCATACCTAGCTGGGTCCTAGCACCACTCTGGCCCAGGAAGTCCTTATTTTGTAGATAGCAGTTCAATGCTTTTAAGACATTTATTTTTTTCTTTCTTTCTTCTTTTTTTTTTTTTTTTTTTTTGAGACAGAGTCTCACTCTGTCGCCCAGGCTGGAGTGCAGTGGCGCCATCTCGCCTCACTGCAAGCTCCACCTCCCGGGTTTATGCCATTCTCCTGCCTCAGCCTCCCGAGTAGCTGGGACTACAGGTGCCCGCCACCTCGCCTGGCTAATTTTTTGTATTTTTAGTAGAGACGGGGTTTCACCGTGTTAGCCAGGATGGTCTCGATCTCCTGACCTCGTGATCCACCCGCCTTGGCCTCCCAAAGTGCTGGGATTACAGGCGTGAGCCACCACACCCAGCCTCTTTCTTTTTGCTATGTTTGTTGGCAAAAAACGAACAAACAAACAAACAAACAAAAACACTCTTATCCAGTGGGAAACGTGGTTGAAATTATCTAGCCTGCCACGACTGAAAATGCATGTTCCAGCCAGGCACGGTTGCTCACGCCTGTAATCCCAGCACTTTGGGAGGCCGCGGCAGGTGGATCATGAGGTCAGGAGATCGAGACCATCCTGTGAACAGTTAAACCCCATCTCTACTAAAAATACCAAAAAATTAGCCAGACGTGGTGGCGGGCGCCTGTAGTCCCAGCTACTCGGGAGGCTGAGGCAGGAGAACGGGGTGAACCTGGGAGGCGGAGCTTGCAGTGAGCCGAGATCGCGCCACTGCACTCCAGCCTGGGCGACAGAGCAAGACTGTCTCAAAAAAAAAAAAAAAAGAAAGAAAATGCATGTTCCTCCTACTCTCACCTTTTTCTTTCACTCCAAATTCAGTGGCTCCAGTCACCCTCTCTGACTCTGTGGGAGCTCATACAGTATCTGTCCCGAAGGGGATTCCCGGGGAGTTTCGCATCCACGAGCTTGCCTCTCGCTTTACTGCCCACCCAGCACACACCCTCGAAGGCTGCTGCCCAGCCTCCTTTCCACGCGGCTTCCATTACAGACACAGCCCTCTCTCTTCATTCTCAGCACCTTCGTGTCTCCGCGGCAGACATTTTCTAAAGGCTTAGGGATGACAGAGAAGGGTCACAGTACTTCTCAAGATAGGAAGAAACTACTCAGCAGTGCTTCTGAGAGATTCTTTCACAACTCCTTACCACAAGAAAACGAGAGTGATGCGTCCCTCTTCCGATCTGCCCTCTCGCCCCTCACCAGGCTTCCCTCCATCCCCAAGGCCTCCCCCTCCTCCAGCTCTCTGCTGGCTCCTGATGAGCCCTTATCCTCACGCCACCACTGCTGAAATTCCACTTGACTTTGCAGAGCAATTCAGCTCTTTTCTGAAGTATTCCCATCTGGGCAATGTCCGCAAAACCTCTCCATTCTCAACCAGTCCATGAAGATGTTTTCCTTCACCGAATTATCAAAATTTTCTGAAATAAATGCTGTCCTCCTAAAACGCAGAAATGAGGAGACGCGTTTTGTTTTTGTTTATTTGTTTGTTTGTTTTTGAGATGGAGTCTCGCTCTGTCGCCCAGGCTGGAGTGCAGTGGCCTGATCTCAGCTCACTGCAAGCTCCGCCTCCCGGGTTTACGCCATTCTCCTGCCTCAGCCTCCCGAGTAGCTGGGACTACAGGCGCCCACCACCCCGCCCGGCTAATTTTTTGTATTTTTAGTAGAGACGGGGTTTCACTGTGTTAACCAGGATGGTCTCGATCTCCTGACCTCGTGATCCGCCCACCTCAGCCTCCCAAAGTGCTGGGATTACAGGCTTGAGCCACCATGCCCGGCCTGACAGGCTTGTCTTTTTTAAGCAATTTTTTCTTCCTAGAATATTCTCTGCCCTTAATAAAATCTTTACAATCCCTGCAAAAGTTCCAACCCACAAATCCTTCCTCTAGGAGGCAAGTGAGGAAACCGGGGACGGGAGCTTCACATGGTCAAGGCTTGCAGATGCTTCTCCCAAGCTTGCTCAGGGATGATGGCTCCCACCAGTCTGAGAGCTCCAACGCGAGAAATTCTATTTACTGCTTTAGCAGCCTGGGTATTCTTATTTTGAGCCCATGATAGAAATTCCTTAAGGTTTCATTAGAAGAACAGGAACAAGTTACACGGTTTAACCTCTTTACAGCAACACACATCTTTGTCTGTTGTGAAGCACCGATCCTTTAAACAAAAAATTGCCATATGAAAATGGCCTACTCAGAGGCTGTGCTGAAAATAAAAATATGATTTACTAAAAAGTACAGATTTCGTTGGGGTTCCTTTGGTTATTGTTGCTGCTCTTTTAAACAACCATCCAGCAAATCCGCAATGTGCTTCTTTCTAAACCACAGCACCAGAGAAAATCAATTCAAGTATTTCCCAAACTGCAGCACTGGAACAAACGAGCACTAACCACAAGTTTCTAATCTCCAAGAAAACATGAAATATGCCTTCCAAGGGACACAAGCAGAAAAGGAAGAACCTGCTAAGAACATGTAATTCACATCTACTGCAAACCATATTTCAAAGAGCTCAATGGGGCTGGGGAACGCTTGTGAAAGTGCTGGCAGGGAAAAGAATCCAACCGTACCCAAACAAGACCTCAGGGTGCAGCGTGCGATGAGCGCCCAGGAACGCACTGATGGAGGCAAAAACAGTATTTTTAACAGATGATAGACTGAAAAGCAGCTAAATGTAATACTGAAAGTATTATCAGAAGAGCTGCATACAACTTCCTGATATGGAAATTAGGTAGCAACCGTTAGACACAGAGTTAAAAATCAGATTCAATCAAGGAACAAAATGGAGTTTGTAATTTGTAGGAGTCCACTTTAGAATATCACTCAGCAGTTTCCCAAACCGAGCACCTTCCCCGTGAAGACTGCTGTCACGGCCTTCCATGCTAAAGGCGCAGGGAGGGGAAACGGCACGGTGACCTGCGACGCTGAGCGGGCAGGACCGTGCAAGGCACGTGGCCAGAGCTAAGTTACCAACAAAGTGCAGTTTCTCTCCACGTTGTGTGAAACAATTTGCCAAGCACGCGTAGAACTCTTTGTGAAAGAGCATGTCTCTCTTCCATAGCTCATCGCTGACCAGCTGGTATCACAAATGCAGGCCTGGTTCTGCTTGGCATCACTTGCTTAATGCTCTGTTCATGAATTTAACAAACTATCGGGAGAATATGCCTGGAACGGGCAAGCATTATCTCTCAACTTCCATTTAATTAAACTCTGCTATTGTAATATGACAGTCAGCACATCGCAGGGGGAATTATTTTAAAGATGAAGGTAAAGAGTATTTCAAAGCCCCCACTTAAACATGAAAGCATAATCTGAAACTGCCTGAGCACACACTGTCATTTTTCTGTAATATTAAAGATGTTATTTCCAGACTCAGTAATTAGTTAGATTCCATGGAGGATTATTCTAGCATCCTTGATAGAAAAATGATGTACAGAGCCAGGGAACAGAGTACCGAAGGACCACCACAACCAACCATCTGTCACCTAGACTATGACAATCACCAAACTTAATAAGGAGTGAGCACTGCCTGCTTCGGGTGCACACTCACTACTCTCCTGCAAAGCGAATGTACTGAATTCTGATGATATCGCCTTAAGAAGAAGAAATAAGAGCAGCTTGCGCGCCAGCAGCTGTCTCAGAAGGATGCCCGTGAGGGATCCTGAGCAGGCCAGGATGCCACCGGCGGATGAGGACAGCACCCTGTCCCACCGAGGGCTGGGGGCCACCTCCCCCTTCCCACAGAGAGGGGCTGCACAGGAAGCTGGCTTACCATCTATCCGGCTCACGAGTTCTTCTAACATTTTCACTTTCATTTGAATTCCAGGTTGGGCAAAGGTGTAGTTATCCTAAGGAAAAAATGATAATGTGAATCATAGGCATATAAAATAAAACACACTTTCCAAAAGGGAAAAAGGCAGCTGGGATAAAGGGAACAGCTTGATAATAGGACGAATTCACAAGCAGATTTTATCTTGAGAAACAAATAAGCAGACGCGCACTGCACAGCACAGCCCCTCGCGGTGCCGCCGAGTGCTATTTTGAGAAGGGAAAGTCCAGTATTTCCTGATGTCAGGTGATGAGCAAGCACATCTCAGGGAACACTGACTGGTACATTTCTATTTGTAAACGTGAGACACTTATATCTAAATTGAAAATCAGGCATCCAAGTGCATAGCTCATTGACCAGAACAGTCTTTGGGAACTGACCACCTCGCTGGCCACCTGGACCCCGAGCACTCAGCCTGCTGGAAGCCAATGGCAAATGTGCCCGGCGCTGACAGCACCATCATCATGGCCACAATCCAAGTGCTGATGACGTGATGCTGAAAACAGTGGACATGTGGCTTTACCCTCGGAGATATAGTTGGGTGAACTCAGGTTAAGTTCAGATACTAACAGAGGAAGGTCTGCATAGCATCAAAGGGAAGGGGGCCTGGGCAGTTTCAAGTCAAACAGCCCAGGAATGGGGCCCCAGCTCTAGGACTCAGGAGCTGTGTGACCCTGGCAAGTAACACAACCCCTCTGGGCTTCCGTTTCATTACCAATAACACGAGAGTAATAACACTGCCTTCTAGGACTGTCTGAGGTCTCAAGGAAATAAGTAAGTGGAATGTGGAAGAGATTTCAAGACACAGCAGGTACCGGGCAGTGACAGGTCTATTACTCCTGCGTCACCACCTAAGAGAGCACACACGCGACACTGGGGGGTGCGGCCAGAGAAGACTGGTCACACTGCCTCATCCCACAGCAGGAACACAAAGAGGCAGCTCCCATCAACAAGAGAACAGCATTCCCTATGCAGGCTGCCCTTTGGGCCTCAGCCAGTGCTCAGGGGCATTTGCAGAAGGAGGGTTTCAACCAGACTCGTGGTTAACAGACTTAATCTGTACCCAACAGCAGTGAATGTGGAAAGCAGAATAATAACCAGCCCCAAAGACGCCCAGGTTCCAATCCCTGGAACCTGTGGATGTGTCGCCTTACATGGCATGGGGAACCAGGGTTGCAGGTGGAACTAAGGTTGCTAATCCATGAACCTGTGCAGAAAGGAGAATCAGAAGGCAGCGAAACGACGGGTGCTGTGCCTGGGGCTCCTGTGGGTTCCGGCCTAGGCTTCTAACTCTTTAGTGAGCACACAGGGCCTCTGGCCCGGCCAGCACTGGGAGATGACTGCCTGTGGCAGCTCTGCCCTCAGGGAGTGACACTGGGGATGGCCCCAGGAGCCTCAGCTAGGGGAAGCCAGGCAGGCCACTGGCCTCAGTAAGGGCACAGGTAATGCAGTCTCAGTCCGAACAGGAGGTGTTGGGCACAGGCAACTGCAGCTCACCAAGCGGGCTCAGGCCACCACGCAGGTACTAGCTTGCAGCAGGCAGCGTCAGGGCAGCCTCTCCGACAGTGGGGGATGATCAGCTGCCTGTGCGCCCAAGAGGGCAGGGGTCTGCAGGCACCACCTGGCAGGAGGGAGGTGCTGGCTTTGCGTGACAGGGGAGCAGGTCTACACGGGCAGCTGTCCTCATGGCACCCGACATTCAGAGCCCAGGAGGAAAGTGGAAGGACTGATCTGGACTTGATACTGATACTCCTCTTCCATAGGCTCAGGACTGGAAAACGGTTCGAGAACAACATGCCTGGAGGTGGTCAACCAGGCAGGCCTCCCTGTGCTGTGAGGGGACGCAGCCACGGAGTGCACAGAATCTGCAAGGAAGGGTGACGGGGCACACAGCAAGGGTGTCAGCCCTCGGGAGGCCTCAGTGACGTGGAAACAGCACTCACAGAACCCCCAGCTCCAGAACCCAGGAGGGGACCCCAGGTAAGACAAGCGTGCAGCTGAGCGACTGCTTTCGGGCCAGCAGCATTCCCAAGTCTGGAAAGTCGAATGTGAACACACGCAGCCAGCACTCGCTACGTTTCTCTCTCTCTCTCTCTCTCACACACACACACACACACAAGCGCGCGCACACACACCCGCGCACACACCCGGAGCACACGTGACATCTCCTAACAAGAACAGGCACGGCGGCCGCTGTGGCACAGAACACAAAAAATGCCTACAAGGCACTGAGGATTTTTCTGTCCCTAGAAATGGAAAATGAGCCGAGTCAGACCTGCCCGCTTGCTGAGGGATTTCTCCCAGGTGGATTTCAAGTGACGGGCTCTGGATTCCAAACTGTCACATCTCTGTGAGGGCAGAACCGCGAAAACTCCGTTTGCCACCTTCACTTAGAATGACGCCAAGGCCCTCCGGTGACCCCGGGCGGCAGGAAGGAT